CCTATCTGACACAAATAGCTCTGAAAATATAAATAGTGGTTGCTTGGGTAATGCCACTGGTAACTGGTAGGTCATACTTCATTTCTTTCCCTCTGTTGTCACTCTCTGTCTTAACTTTTCTCAGCACTAAATGATCATTAGTGTGTCGATATACACCTCTTTACTCAAACAAACAAACAAACAGACAAGCAACAAACAAACACACAAACAAACAAACAAACAAACAATCAAACTAACAAACAAGCAACAAACAAACAAATGAATAAACAAACCGACAAACAGGCAAACAAACAAACAAACAGTCAAGCAACAAACAAACAATCAAACAAACAAGCAACAAACAAACAATTGAATAAAAAAACAGACAAACAAACAAACAAACAAACAAACAAACAAACAAACAAACAAACAAACAAACGTAGTCTGATAGGCTGTTGTCCAACTGTAGCAGTAGGCACTAAGTTATTGATTCCTGACTGTATTAATAATATAAACATACTCTGTTTCAAACACACTAGCTCGTGATCGTATAGTGGATGGTTGGCAGGTGCTCTGGTGTGGTTTGCTCCTTTTTTTCCTTTTTTCTATCAAACAGCTGTCTCTTTTTCTCTCCTCCTTCTTTTTTTGTGCTTGTTACTCTCTTGCAACATCTCTAATCTTCAGCTCTTATATGACCTTATTGTGTTGTAGGTGCCGTAAAATTGTTATTAAATTAAATGTAATAGAACAACAAGACGAACCAACATTAACAGTGAAATTTTACGTTATACATATAGGTTTTACCAGCGTTTGTGGTGTAGCGGTTATGCGCTTTGCCGTCGCTCGCAGATGACAAGTGTTCCATTCCCGAGTGGGGAATTTTTTTAATCGAATGTTTTGGCCTTTCCTCTGGAATATTGTATTCCTTTTAACCTGGGTTGGCCTTGCCAGGTAGGCTCGAAGCTTGCCTCTTAAATGGTCTGAATCGTGTCGATTGGGGCGTAAAGCACGTATATTCATTAAAATTTCCCTGAACAAGTTACAGTATCCCAGCACACTCTTTTTTTTGCGCAACGCTGAAGAGCCTATCCACAGCAAGACGTAACACCCTTAGCAATCTACGAAGACCCGGTCTAGCAAAACTATACTCTTAACAGTCTAGATCGTTGATGTCATTTAAAGAAAAGATGTGACTGGCGTTTGTGTCGATAACGTGTATCTCCTCCAGACTCCCCCGCGCACTTCGTGAAATGAACTCAATTTCTGGAGGTCAGATATGGCGTCGGAAATGTAAACCATTTCGAGAAGTTTCCAATGCCACTAACAAGATGCCCTCTCTCCATTGACAGTGGTCTAGTGCGGCGGCGTCGTGGAAAATTGAGAGGGGAAAATAAGCAAAATATAAAAAAAAACCGCAGGAAAAAACAAACAAAACATTGTTTGGAACGTCATCAATAGTAGCCGCAAGATCCTCATCTCCATTTTCAGACGCTGTAGTGAAGCAGCTCAGACGAAAGTACAAATAAATCTACTTGGAACATTACCAACTCTATCAAAAAGATACCCAGCCTTCGTCTTTTTAGTCTCTATGGTTTGACAGAACCAGCCAAAATATATGGAAAAGAACCTCCTCTTTTGTCACTCTGTATCAACACTACGCCTC